TCAGAATTATAACGTCAAGTAGTACTCATATTAGTTATTTGAGTTTGATTAGTTTCTATATTTCCATGTTGAGTAATATGTTTATTAGCATAACTTTTTAAAGTAATAGTACCATTACCTGCATCAGCTTTATAAATATTTTCACAATACTTGCATCTTGCTTTCTTCATGCGAACTCCATTTTCTGTCTTGTAAAACTTATCGAAATGCACTCAAATGTCCGATGTGTGCCTATCGTCGGTTTCGACTGCAATTGATGAACTCGTTTCTGCTTGAGATAGAGTTGGATGAGGATAACAATTACGAGGATGACTTCTAGAACCACCGGGAGCTGTAGCAGCATGGGGAGGAAGGGAGGGAATATTATAAGGTGTATCGAATTCTAAGAATGGGAAAGCGGGACTATATGAATCTACTGCATTTACGTTAGTAAATTCAGGGGGACTAGGATAATTTCCTTCATCATTGAAATTGATGGGATGGAAATATCTATCTATTGTAGTTAAAAAAAAAAATGGATATAGAAAAAATAAAAAATTAAAGGAGAATTGGAATTTGGAAATATGAATTGAAAATTGAAAAAACTAATAAAAATTAAAATGAGAGCAAATTGACAACAAAGAGAATAATTGAGAGATTTAAATAGAGAGAATGAGAGAATTTGGGATATGAGAAAATATGAGAGTTTATGCCCTATTTATAGAAAAAAAGGGGAAAAGAAAATGACCAAAAAGACCCTTCCAACTGCTATAAAACGGTTATATTTCAAGGTTAAAAGGGGTATTTGCAAAAAAAAAAAAAAAAAAAAAAATTTAATTTTTTTGGTCTAACCCGTGGGTCAACCCGGCGGGTTAGCCGTTGGGTTTGCAACGGCCAACCCGCCGGGTTGGGACTAAAAACCCCCAACCTGGCGGGTTGGATGGGTTATTTTTAAAAAAAATATACAACCCGTCAAGCCGCTGGGTTGGTCTATGAAGACCCGGCCCGCTTGACGGGGTATACGCCTGGCCCATTTGTTCCACCTCTACGGATAACAATCTGAAAGGTATTATGGTTGGATAGTTATGGAGTTAATTTGTTGTATGGTTGGGAATAATGCTTATTAACTAGCTCATAATTAATTGATGTCCAGATATAAGCTGGACCAGTCATTCCGTACATGAAGAATGTCAGGAGACCCTTTCCGCCTTAAAAGGCAGCAAATGCAAAGGTACCAACATTGCAACTCGTAAACCTACCAATGCATTTGGTAATGAAAGATTAGAATTGTTTGCTAATGTAAATGAATGATGAACATATGTAGGTGCCACAAATCAACCAAGGTCAAGTAGGTGATTGGCAAACAGAATGGGACAGGTTTGTTGAACAACAGTATGTTTGACCTCCACATGGGGTACGAAACTGTTTTACAATTCAGATGCTTCAAGCCATATTTACATAGTATGTTTTCCTCATATGATTGACTGCATATTTTTGTTTTGCAGCAAATTGTGGAGGAGTTTTAAAGGAGACAACTTGCACAATTTCATAAGATTGGACTGCATGTGGTTTTTTATGTACACAGAATAAATCTACAAAGGGAAGGTGCTAAAGTGGATTGACAAATTTGACATATTCTCAAGAAAATATGTGTTCATTCCTATAATCCTCTGGTGAGTGAAGATTTTGTGTCCGTATGCATTTGTGTTTTACTTACCATGCGTGGACATGAGTTGATTTCGTTGCTTAAGACTTGACATTGATAATATGCATAAATTATGTTGATAGGGGTTATTGGAGTTTACTGATTTTGTGCAACTTTTGTGGATATGTGAACTTGGAAATTAAAACTTGATGTATGGTGCTGCTTGATACGCTCGGATCGAATAACGGAATGAGGCTACAACCTCTGATTCGACAGTAAACTTTGATTATTTCCCAATTATTTGCAAGCACATTTGAGCACATGATAAGCTGTGTTGTTGGAGATGTGGAACTGGAATGGGTTTGAAATTGTCCAACTTTAATTATGCAAATTTGTGAGGGATATTTATAAATCAAGAACAATGCCCAAGCATCCAGCATTGGTTGATAAAGTGCCTTTGCTAATGCCTAAGGTGATAAAACAGTATATTGTGTTGGTTAATGGTAAATATTGGTTGATCTGTTCAGTATTTCATGTATTTGTTGTGATCGAAAAATGCACTCACTAGGTCCCTCAACAACGAAATGACATGGATTATAGATATTTCGTACTGTATTACATAACGAAGTTTGTGGAAGCTACCCCAAAAGATTTTTCAATCAATGATGGGTATCCTTACTTTTTAAGTACTACAGCCATTTAATTGATCAGGGTGGTTTGTTTATTGTCTCTTCAATTATAATATGTAGGTTATTGTTGTTGTTGATTTTTATTCTCAACAGATGACGCAGGATTGGTTTACCCTCGCTGAATTTACAACCTTCCGTGATAAACTGTTGTGCGAAGTTGAGTAGCATAGGCTGCGTTTTATTCATTTATGTATGACTATTGTGTAATTTATATTTGCGGATGTTAGATTGAGTTCACTTAAAAAATTGTAGAGATTAAGTTCACTCTTACAACATGCGGAATTATGTATTATTATTGGTTCACAGATTTAAAGAGCATCGTTATTCTGCTTGTAGTTTACTTATTGGTACATTGCTTGGATTAAGGATATTGTAAATGCACAAGTACTCCAAAATATGTGATATTACAATTGTACCAACAATTTTCGCACATAATTTTGGTCCACGATAAGTGGAAAAAGTTAACAAAATTCCTCAAATATAAAAACTTGCATTTGAATTCCAGTAATGGTGTAAACAAAAAAAATACAATTTTTCTTTTGCCTTGAAAAAAAAAGGCTTCAATTGGACTAAAGTAGAAATCAACATACAAGAACTATAATTTGGGGCAGTACACAAATCAGAGTTTTAAATTGGAAGATGTGAACTATATTAGTTGCAATAACAGAGTGAGGTTTGAAAGTATAACCAACAAAAAATACAATAGCTTTTTTTCGGAGTTTCAATAGTCTGTGTAAATTTGTCAATAAATGACTTAACAATAAAATACTTGACTAAAATATAAGAAAAAGAATTTTGTTAATTGATCATTTGTTTTATTAACCAAACACATTAATTATTTATACCCAATAGTCATCTAAAGGACATTTTAGTAAAATGTAATCAAGACATCTACTCTTACAGCCAACCAAACAGATTAATTAGTAATACAAGTAATCTTCCAATGGGCATTCTAGTAAAAGGCCATTTCAAGACATCTGTTATTGCTAACAACTAAACACATTAATTATTAATACAACCCAATTGAATCAAACACAGTAATAATTTAAACCTAGTAATCTATCTTTTCGGTAATCTTATTACTAAGACACAAAAACATTATATGATCCAAACGCTCCCTTATTAATAAAATTTTTGGACAATAATACCCTCGTTTTAAAATCAATTTACATTAATCTAACTTTTACAATTTTACCCTTGTTTAATTAAGTTTTTGGATAAAATTACCCTTGAATTCAAAATAAATTGCAGACCACAACCACCACCCAGTGACCATCGTCGAACGCTGCCAGAAGTCGTCAAAAGTACGTCGGGAGACGCCAAGAGTCACCGAGAAGCTTCGATATGGCCAGAAATGGCCAGATCTATTCTGGCCCCTTTTCGGCCAAATCCATGGCCTTTAACAACCATATCTGACCTAGATATGACCGTTAAAGGCCATGGATTTGGTCGAAAATGGTCAGAATAGATCTAGCCATTTTCGATCAGATCTACTCCGATATTTCATTTTCAGCCATCAATATGGCTAGAAATTGTCATATCGGAGCCTCTCGATGACTCTCAACTACTCACGGTGATGTCTAGCGACTTTCGACGGCTTTTGGCGACTTTTAGCGACGAATGGCGGTGGCGGGCAATGACTTGGGGTGGTGGTGGTAATTTTGTTATAAATTAAAGTTTTATATAAATGGGGGTGTTTTAGCTAAATCTGAAATGTTGGAGGTTAAAATAATTATTCAAAAATTAATAATAAAAATAATATTATATTAATATTTAAAAAGAGGGCAATTTAGTAATTTAAATAACATACCCACCAATTTATTCCAACTAACGAAACACATTTTCTTAAAGATTCCCAGTAATCTTCAAGGTAATCTAACTTTTCATTAATATAACATTCCTAATAATCCAACATTCTCTAAACCAAACGCACCCATAAAGTGATCTGATTGTCAAAAAGCAATCTCTGATAACACTATAGTACTAGAGATAAATCACGAGGGAGGGCGAAAAGCAATCTCTGATAACACTATAGTACTAGAGATAAATCACGAGGGAGGGCGAAATGTTACCCTCAGTACTTTTAACAATGACCTATAATCTTATATCCATGCATGGAGTATCATATATACTCACAAGTCTTACACAATTCTATAATCTCGACAAACACTATAGTATCGAAGATAATGTTGCCTTTAGTGATGACCCTTGGATCTTGGTCAGCACCAGAGGTGGGGGGACCTAGAGGTGGCAATGGGTCGTACCGACACAACCCACAAATTTTTTGGCATGGCTCACCATGGCACAACACGAAAATTTTGTGTCGTGCCATGGCCCGTGGACCGGCATGGCACGACCCACGAATTTAAAAAAAAATTCAAATGTAGCTGTTGCAATTGTGGGTTGGTCCATGAAGGCATGACACAGCACGATCTACCAAGCCATGGGCTGTGCTGTGGGTCTTGAGTTTTGGTTGTCTGCCATGGCATGATGGGCTGTGAAAATTTTGGCACAGCACAGCCTATCACCACCTCTAGGGGGAACGTTAACTCGAATACATTAACAATTTCCCGATAATCTATTTTCATGCAATGAGTAACATATATTCTCAGAAGTGGAAAGGCAATGAAATTGGAAACAAAAAGAGACAAGATAGTAAGTTGTATATGTATACAAAATCTGACATTTCAAGTGAATGTGAACGCACGTTTAGCAGAGTCAAGGGTATTGGAAAGTAGCATAGAAATGGCAACAGGTCCTATACCTCCAGGCACTGGGGTTATGGCTGATGCCACCTTAATTGCTTCTTCAAAGCAAACATCTCCCGTTATCCGGTAACCATTCCGACAACTCGAGTCCTGCAAATTATTGTAACAGCGTCTGATCATTATTGAAACAATGCAAGTAGTGGAGTGCTAAATGAATGTATATGCGATAGAATTTTATTGGATGATCGAACATATGATATAGTATGATGCCTATAAGTGGAACTGGGGAATTTCCCCTTTTCCCATTACAATAAAAACATGATGCAAACATTGTTGCCATAACTTAAAAAGAAGACAACATTGAACGTGGCGATAAGAAATATCGGTTGCTCCTGATGATCCTGATTCTGAAGGAGACATAGTGTAAACACATCGAATTGATAATCAGGCAAATGAGAACGCATTGCAGATCATGTAAGGCAAGTCAAGGTTATCTTCTTTTCTCCTTTATCTGCAGAATACTCATTCTGCTATGTTATTTTGGGCATGCTTACACTACTTGTTAAAGAATGACAAGCTGAGAAACGTGTCTAGATTTCATTTCTTAAAATAACCACGTAAAGCCATGCAAATACGAAGATGAATAATATACACAAAAATGCATAAATCAATGCGTCTTTCAAGCTAATTATTATTAATTTGATGAGAAACTGTGAATGCATTTATAAAAAAAGTAAAAATGTTAGAAGTATATATAAGACTAGATCGCCAGAAGAAGCAAAAAAGTAATCAGGGTTAAGCAAAATCTATACAAAGGTATAGTCGATAACAAACAAAATCACAGCTATAAACCACAAAAACCCCTCCTATACAAGATAGCACCCTAGGGAAACAATTGTTATAGGGTGGTAAAAAACTCTCTTTCGTTACGACCCCACTCCCCAAATAAGTTCATCCCTTAGAACCGCATCCCAGTTGAGATGAACGAAGGTAAAAGAGTAGTCCTGAAAATCTTAGGAAACAGAAGTCCAAATGAAAGCTAGAAGCGTAAGCCTGTTCCACAACTCTTCTTTGTCAACTCGAAGATAAACTGGTTTCTTTCCTACCAGATTACCTAAAACGCAAGCAGAAACAGCCCACTACAATAGAATATTGATTGACTTCTCTCTCTATATACCACATCCACCAAGAAGAGATATATGGGAAAAGTAACTTAAAAAATCAATGCAAACAACAATTTAAGTAGTCTGACCATAAAACTATAAAATAAAGTAATTTCTGATATGTTTAACCTTTCATAAAACATCACTTATCATTTATCTGAACTCCCAAGTATAGCTTGGTGACTTAATTAGCAAATGATTTGTAGCCCACAGCAGATTCTCTATTGAGATTTTAACAATACTGTAGTTTGCACGTTAGTTTAGTATACAAAAAAAAACTCATCATTTTACTTATTCTACATATGCACTCCCAATGAGGTTTTAATAGGGGCTATTGAGTGTATTAGTAAAATTCGAAGGTAAATTTCCAATGTATGCACACCAAAATATGCAAGTTGAAAGAACTAGTGTTCAGTTCTCTACTTCTACTCTTTTTATTACAAAAGGTTTTAATTACCTTTACTGGATTTGTACCCATATCAATTACAAATGCTCCTGGTTTTAGCCAATCGCCACGAACAATGTTAGGAACCCCAACATCTGACACCACAATATCGGCTTCAGAAGATATATGCTCTGGATTCTTTGTAAATGCATGTAAAGTGCTGACAGTTGCATGATGCCTCTGCACACCCACACAAAATTAAACAAACAAATAATAGTTGAAACAAACTTTCTACACCAAGTTAGAATGATTTACCTGCAGCAGCAAGGAAGTAGGCAACCCAACAATTTTGCTTCTCCCAATTACCACTGCCTTCTTTCCGATGATTTCCACTCCAGACCTCAGCAACAACTCAATGCAAGCCTTAGAGGCAAAAGGGATGAATAACGGCTCTCTTCCTCTCATGGCAAGATTCCCCATATTGAGGGGATGGAAACCATCCACATCTTTTTCTGGACTCATAAAATTTATAATCTTTTCCTCGTCCAAATGCTGCATCAAACAGTAAATTTAGTAATTATATAACAAAGTCAGGACTTTGTTTATGTCCAACCCATACTAAATTGGATCAACCTAAACTGTAAAAAATAAAGAAAATTTCAAATCCTATCATTCCCTCAAATGAATTTTCATAACGAAAAAAAGTTTCTTAATAGAAAAAATGGATATGATATAGTCTCACTGATTAAACAACCGACTTGTCACAACGGAAAAAGAGAACACTAGAAGACAATCGTGATCATTTAATTGGTGGCCTTCCATGCATAACTTGGAGATCTGTGACATCTTCACCATTAGCTTTCATCTGATTGACAAGAGCTAATGTCCGCAAAAAAGAATCAGAAAGAATTTCTGATTTTTCCATCTGAAGAAGTTCAAATTTCCTCCGAAAAGTCTATAATCTAACTTTTTTCACTGTTCCTTTGTAGATATTCGTCAACATATCCCACACCCTTTTTTGCCGTTGTTGCGTGTGCAACTTTCTCGAAAAGAGGCTGTTCAATCAACTGATTGATATACAGACGAGCCTTTATTAAAAATTAAAAAATCTTTTTTTCGGTTATCTGCCAACCGCTTTCTTTGATCTTGTGTTAATCCCGCTTGATCCGCTGGTACAACAAATCCTTGATCTACAATCTCCCAAAGATCTTCATGTTCAAACAAGAGTTGCATCTGAACTTGCCAAAACTCCAAATTCATTTTTCCATCAAATACTTAAAATGCCATAATGTTATAGATTCCGAGTTCTGGTCATAACATTCTAAGAAACAAGAAATTTAAGCAATGGTGGCTATAATATGCATATAATAAGGCACAAAGGGTCCTGGTAACCTTACAATGCTTCTAAAGACTCAAGATGTTAATTCTTTGTTAAACTTCAAAGGCATAATAAATTGGGGAAAAGGGGGCAAAAACTCAAAATTTTTGAAGCAGTAGCAAAATTACTTTGTTAGAGGAAGTTGCCAATAATACCATGTACGAATGGGTTCTCATTGAATCCTGTAACAACGTTAAGAAGTTCTCTCTGAGCAATCTTCAGGCAGCTTTGATACCGAAGATGCTATTCCACTTCATCAAGCTTTTAACTTGAAGCGGATGAAAGTATCGAGTCCCTTCTGTCACCCCCAAAACAATGCCAGCCAGGTTATTTCCAATGGAAGCTTTCATTCTGCCTATTTCATTAGCTACGTACTCTATATCCTGAGCAATCGACTTCCGTCAATTATTGCAGCAGCCTGTCTATTAGTACTATGCATTTTAAAAAACAACATGTTAGTACTTTAAAGATAACGGGTACAGATAATGAAAATGGATGAAGATGCACACAGAAAAAATAGAAGCAGAGACATGACTAGATAGTTAAAAGCACGAAAATTAGCATCAATATTTTCTAACGATATGAACAGCCAAATTCAGAGCAAGCTAGGAATTTAAATATACACGGAAAGACTGATCAAAATTAAGATCTAAAAAAATTCAACAAAAAATAGTTACTAGAATTTTGATATTGATTGATCATTATTTTTATCAATACAACTTTGTTGTAGATACTTTTTGTATATTTTAGAACAATGTATCAATGAACAAAAACATAAAAACATTTTCAAAGAACTGCATGTAACCTTTTTCCCATTTGTTAAATAACACAACTGAATCACTATATCTGCAAATATTGCAAATCAATGAGAGAGGTTCAATATTCACTTTTGAACATATTCATGTCTTCCCTTGTGAAATGACCTATTTATATATACAAACCCAAGATTGCAGCGTTCAACAGAGTCAAGTTTCGAAGCCAGGCTTGCAAGCAAGTTCCGGGGGAAATCTGGATTCTCAAATATTATATATATATATATATATATATATATATATATATATATATATATAGACACACACACACACACACACACAACCAACCCATCCATAGAAAGTGATGTACACCATAATAACATTGCCACATTATCCATTTTAAATTATTAATCCACTTTTTCTTTCCTCTTCCATTAAATAATCTGCATCAGTTTGTATTATTAGTTATAACTCTAGCATTATTGTATTAATAGTTAGTGACTCTAGCATTATTACTGTACAATTATAGCAGAACACAGCTTATTTCTTGAAATTTCCTGTTCCCTTACTTTCAAAGCAAAAAATTATTTTTTTCTAAACTAAATAATAAACATTCCAACTGAAGAGTTGTACTTTAAGCTAAAGTAAATTGAAGAAATCACCAAAATAAAAAAATAAAAAATTACTTTCATAAACATTTCAACTGAAGCCCTTTTCTTTTCAAAACTAAAGGGACTAATTTTCACTCACTTTTCAATAACTTTTCCCAATAATGTAAACCAAGAAGCCAAAATTATGTGCTTTTAGGTTTTATTAATCTTCAGCAACTCAAATTAAAAACCCAAAGATACAAAAATCATGGAGCAAATCCCTTAAACAAATTACCAAAAACTAATTCAAGAGAATGAGCAAGAAGACTGCTCAAAGAGAGCTTACAGGAGTTGGGGCTGCTAGCAGTGTTACATTGGCTACTGCCACGTGGATCCAACGTCTGGAGATTGGGGCCAAGAATGGTGCTTAGACCGCTTGAACTTGAAGTGGAAGTAGAATTTCCAGACAACCCTTTTCTTTTAAAAGTTCGCCAAAACACCCTCCGCCGCCGCCGCCGCGCTGCCCCTCATTCTATTGCTGTATATCCACCACATCATCAACTGGGTTGGCTTTCTCATCACAGCCACCCCTTGCCACCTGCAACAAACGCTACATACTGAATTCCAAATTGATTTGCAAAACTAGTGATTAATTACCTATCACACTTTTAACTTGAGAAACTAACAATGTGACCCCCTAAATTTCCAGTTTAAGATGTTGAAATATATGAGAGAAGGGTAATGACGTCATTTCAAATTGCCACTGTATATTTTATGTAATAATTTCCATTCATAAATAAATAACTTTTGTATACAATGTATATTAATACCTTAGTTCATTTTTATTTTTTTGTTTATTAAGATATATGTACATCGACAATTTTTTTTTTTTTTTTAACATTTTATATTTGTATACAAAAATTCTTAGGTTTGAACGTTATGAAATTTCTAATATGTAAAACAAAGGTATATATATACGATATATATTCTTAGTTGTAATGTCCCGAAATTTTAATGAGTAACTAAAGATGAGTACTGATTGTTGGTTATATATATTCTCCGATGCAGACGTTTAAAATTTTAATGTGTGACTAAATATGAGCACTCTGTTGCTTGCTATATGTATATTATAATCCTTGTTTTTTAGGTTTTTCCATTCCAGTTTGATAACTAAATTTGAATCATTTGGGTATAATATAGGAGCAAAGTGCAACTGGATATACAAAAATAAATCAGAAAAATATTTCATATTCACTTATATATTTTTTTTTTTTTTTTTTTTTTTTTTACTTGAAAACAAGTTTTGAATTTATATTTTAAATTAGGGAAGCGATTTTAAGCCCCATCTAATGACGATAGTTAGTAGTAGTGTAGTAGTATATATATATATATATATATGTGTGTGTGTGGGTGTGTGTTGTGTGTGTGTGTGTGTGTGTGTGTGTGTGTGTGTGTGTTGTGTGTGTGTGTGTGTGTGTGTACACCCCCTTCTTTTTACATTTGATTTTAGTTTTTAATATTTAATCTTACATAAACTGAATCCTAAATTTTCATAATTATTGAAATCTTTTATTTCATTTCAATATTTTTTTGTTAAAAAATATATTACTAAATCTATGAAGAGGTAATCACCCAGGTGAATCTAAATTTGAAGAAAAAAAAAAGTAAAGAAGAAAATGAGTTTCAAAATTGTAATTATTAAAAGGGGTGTAAAAAAAGCTTTTAAAATTGAAATCGAGGAAAAGAGGTGGAAAAGAATTCTAATTAAGTTTGAAATTGGGAAAATTTGTGAAAAAAAAGACCCTTATTATTAATTAAGTTTATGAGTTTATTTTCGGTATTAAATGAGGTTAATAAAGAGATCAATTTTAAATAGAGTACGACATGTTCCTACCAAAAAATGGTCCATTGACAAATTCGGTCCACCTACTTTTTAAATACCCTTTTAGTATCCAAATATTAAGTTGGGTTAAGAAATACATTAATTTATGAAAATACCCTTAGCCTCTTCCATTGCCGGCTGGGAGTTGGGTGCGACAATAAATCAAACAGGTGTGAATGATGCTGGGCACGGAGGTTGGATGATCTGGGAGATAATGGTGGCCGAAAAAACACAACACAAGACACCCATCAAAAGCCACTAATTGAGCACCAAAAACACCAACGATTTGCGAGAGAACCAACGCAATCGTGACTATCCCACAATGGAAGAGCTAGACACAAGCGACAAATGGCGAGCATGGGGGGTTGAGGGAGGCGTGGGTTTTGAAGAGCAGAGGTGGGGAGTCGAACGGTGGTGGCAGGGCATTTTGAGTGACTGAATCAATCGGAAAAAGTCTAAAAAGATGGGGAATCGTGCAAAAACTCAAGCAGAAATTTTTGGCAACTGGCAGGTGCACCTGGCTCGGGGTGAACGAATTAAAGGTGAGAAAGCTCAAGGAATATGATAGAGGAGGCAGTGAGTTTCACGGTGATTTTCAACACCAAAAATCTAACTTGAATGTCGATCATGTGAATGGAGGGTGGAGGACTGGTGATTGGTGACGGAAAAGGGTGGCTTGGGCTTTATAGAGGAGGTGATAGAGATTCTGTGGGTGGCCTTGGAAGTGATTTTGGACGCCAGGATATGTCGGAAAACGGCAAAAACCGTCGCCATCTCCTTGCTAACGTGCGCCTCCCCTTTTCTTTTCTCTTCTTTGGTGGCCAAATGTTTGTTGACCATTCTATCCTCACTAATAACGAACGCTTGACCATTTTACCCTTCCCCACAACAAAAATTACGAACATTTGGGTACTAAAAGGGTATTTAAAATGTGGGTGGGTTTGAATTTGTCAATGGGCCATTTTTTGGGTGGGAACATGTCGTTAACTCATTTTAAATATAAAAAATGTGTACTTAGCGATGGTGGAATTTGTGAGGATTTTTAGTTTGTATATTTTGTGTGTAAATTTGATCTCTTTCATAACAAATTCCATGGCTTGAAAGGATGTCGGTTGGCGATGTGGCTAGGAGTGCTTCTTCAGCAGGTAGAACGTGTCTTCTCTTCAGTCACTCACTCCTGCTGTGCAGCAGGTAGAACGTGTCTTCTCTTCAGTCACTCACTTCTGCTGTGCCACATTATATCTTTTCAATTGCAATTTTGTTATTTACGTTGGGTTGTTTCCTTGTTTTTAGTGGGTTGTTACATTTATGATTGTATTTAAACATAATGTAATAATGAATAAAGGAGTATTATTCCACTTACGTATACATGTTATCGAGTTCGTGGTTTCCTCCATCAAACCACCTTGTTTTAATTATTCAATTCAACACTATAGGGCCCAGTAAGAAAGAAATCCAATACCTGCCATTAACATTCTTGTTTAAAGTAAATAATTTATTATTTTTATTAATTTCTTAAAAATCAAAATATTTATTAAAATTTTATAGATATTCATTACAAAAGAATATTTAAGTTTAATTTAAATTAATATTTATTATTCAATCAATTAATTATAAGCTTTATTACCCATACAATGGATCTTGCAATCAAATGTTGTTCTCTATTAAATCTTTTATCAATTAATATTTTGGTATTATTTATTCCTAAACTTTTTATTTCATTATATTTAAAATTAAAAAAACAAATTTTTATCTTTGTGTTATATTAAATGAGATAGCACTTTGTTATGCTATGTTATATCATATACTATTTTTGTAATTTATTATGAAATAAATACTTTTATAATAAATAGTTGAAAAACACTTTTTTAATTGACAACTAACAACTCATTGATAAAAGTTATATTTGTACGAGCTTTAATCTATAAACTCTATATGCTACAAGCCTTTCTAGAAACTCAATTTATAC